ATAACTTTAAGCCTATAATTATATTGCATTTTAATTGTTGAATATAAATTATATAAATTATATTCAGTCAGTAAAATATATTAACCAAATGCCAAATTACTGTTAGTAATTATGATTTATTAAAAATACATTTTCATATAAAGTAATATTCATTTGGACAATAAATATCTGTCATATAATCTTAAAGTTATGTCACCAGTCATGTCATACAATCATTTTGTACACATTTTAATATAAAAAACTTTTTATTAATGACTCGAAAATCTAATTTTAAAAATATCTTTCCATTCGTTAGTTATGAATCAAATGTGCAATAAATGATTGATAATATCTTATGCATCACTTAATTATTCGGGTCTATGATGTGATATTCAGTCATATATTTAATACAATTTTTTGTATAATTTTTTCTGCATTTAAAACGAATATTTTATGGACTCTTTGGGACAAGAAATATAATGTTTTTCTAATTTGAATTTTAAAACTTAACTTTTTTGAATTTAATATATCATATAAAAAACTTCTCAAAAAATATGTCAAAACTTTCAAAATTATGATAGATTCATGTTGAGAAATACAAAAAATTGTTTTGAAATAATAAGTTATAACTTAAAATAAAAAAATATTTTTTACTTATAATTAAGCTAATTCACTTCATTGTTTTAATTTAAAAATACTATCATACTATAAAATTTAGAATTTAAGGTTTAAGCATATACAGTAGTCTAAAACTTATAAGGGTAAATTTTATAATTACTATATAAATGAGTAGTAAAATATAATTATTGCATCCTATTCAATTTTGTGTAAATTATTAATTAGACCTGATTTAATATCATGAAGAATCCAATAAAAATACAACCGGTATAAATACTTTCAAGAATAGACTAATCTCAATAAAACATGTACAGTAAATACAATAAGTGTTCAAAATATACAATTCATAAGGAGCTGAGTCACGAAAAATCACTTCAAGGTTTAACAAATGGAAAGTTGATTTCAAACTTATTATTTCAGTTCAATTGATTTTCTTGTGTTAAAACTTCATTTTCAATTAAGTTTATAATTGAGAATCATTTCGTAAGCATTGTTCATTGGTGAATTAATTGATTGAAGTTAGGAGTTAAGGTGTTTGCGAAATGAAACAGTGACTCTACATTTAATAATTGAAATTAGGACTTAATGAATGAATTCTAAAAATATCATTTTAATTACAATAATCCAATTAATGATATTATTTGGACATTTCTATTAATAATAATAATTGTGTGCACTTTTAAAGTGAGATCACATATTATGGACAAAATGAGTGAAGTGACAGAGAATGTGAATAACAATAACATTCATGTCTATGAAAAAGTAAAAGTCGTGTTTTTGGGCGAACAGAGTGTCGGAAAGACGTCTCTTATTACTCGCTTTATGTACGACTCGTTTGAGACTTCATATCAGGCGACCATCGGTATTGATTTCTTGTCGAAAGTGATGTCCACTCCGGACAGGACTATAAGACTTCAGTTGTGGGACACCGCAGGACAGGAGCGCTTCAGGAGTTTGATTCCCAGCTATATTAGGGACTCCGGAGTTGCTGTCATTATATACGATATAACGAGTCAGTGATTGTCTCATATATTTATACATTATATTTAAACCGATAAATAATTTGTTGATTAGATTTACAAACTTTCAATCAGTTGGCGAAGTGGGTGACTGACGTGAGGGCCCAGAGGGGCGATAAGGCGCTCATCATAATTGTGGCCAATAAGACAGATCTCAATGACAAACGACAAGTGAGTGTCGGTGTAGGGGAGGCCAGAGCTCGGGAACTGAATGTACTGTTTATGGAGACGAGCGCTAAGACGGGATTCAATGTGAAGAAGTTGTTCAGGAAAATAGCCGACGATTTGCCTAAACAGCCAAATGATGACAGTCTTCGCAAAGAGTTTGAGGTCAGACTCACTCATAATAGTCCTATGATTGCCAGTCCCACCAAACAGTGCTCGTATTGCTAATAAATTATCCATTTTTTAAATAACAAATTTCCATCAATAGTCAATTTAATTTTATATTCAATTATTGTTTTTGTAAATTATATACAAGTATTAAAATTGATTTGTTTTTATCCATTAAATACAAAGTCTAATGAGAATTAATGGCAACGTTTGATGCATTACT